GCTGTGTGCGCGCTTCGTCGCCGGGGCGTTCACCGGGGGCGGGGGCGCCCTGGGGGGGGGGGGGGGGGGGTTGTCGGCGAGGTGGCGGTGGTGGGCGGCGATGGCGCCGCGGCGGGGTGCGGTGGGGGTTTGGTGGGGTTGCGGAGAAGCGAAGGCACCTCGAGCCCGCCGTTTCGGCCGCCTAGCACGTTGTTGAACTGGGCGCCCCGGTTGGTAGACTGGGCCGCATCGAGCGCTCGTATGGCGGCGAGGTAGGCCCCGCGCGCCGTCACGCACATCCGCCCCACGTTCTCCAGCGCCGCCGTGTTCGCCGCCTCGAAGTCGACGTTGGCGCGGCAGTCGGCCGCCGCCCGCTGCAGGTAGAGCATCTTTTCGGACGGGTGCGACTGGACGGCCGACTCGAACATGCTGGTAGAGGGAGGGCGGGCAGATACGGAGAGTCAGGAGAGGCAGGGAGAGAGAAAGAGACGGCGAATAGACCTGGACGATTCGCTGACAAGCGCCGCCTTGCGCGCCACCAGCTCCTCGGCCGTCCGCACCTCGGCTGTCAGCACCTCGAGCTTCTCCTCGAGCCGCCCCTCCGAATCGACCAGCGCGCCTGCCTTTCCCTCCTCGGCGTCGAGCTGCGCCTGAAGCCGCTCAACCTTGGCCTCGCCGCCACAGCAGGAGAAGAAGCAGGAGTTCTCAGCCTGTTCAATGCGCGACTTGAGCTTGGCAACCGCCTTCTCGTTGCCCTTCCGCGCGCCCTCGGCTCGCTTCTCTGCGGCCGTGGCTTCGCTGAGCTTTCGCTTGGCGGCGGCGAGATCGGCCTCGGCTCCGGCGAGCGCCTTGACTTGAGCGATCCGATCGTCGTACGTGGCGAAGTAGGGCGCGTCCACCTCCTGGTTGTACGACATTTGAGAGAGGAGAGTCGACATTTGTCAGAAGGCAAAATGCGGTCGTGATTGAGGGTTACTGATCAAGCGCCGTGCACTTTGTCTAGTATTTTTCTTTCTACCGCATCGAATATGTCATGAGCGGAGGCCAATTGATTCGCGAGGCTCTGGCAAAAGTGCGTGTGGCACCGTGCTTTGCCCGATCAAGTTTTGTACCCCCTAAACATGGGCGATCCGGCGCTTCCTTCGATTGGACGAAATGATCGCGGAAAAGGCGGGAACCCCATTCGGGGGTTCACCAATGGCTTGCTTGCAAGAATGGGATGCCGACAGGCGTCAGGCGGCGCATGCCGAGAAGTCGCTTGCCGTGCGGGAGCTCGTGCGCCTCTCCCTGCGCGTGCAGTCCACGGGCGTCGTCGTGGAGCTTCATCTCGACACGGCACTGGTTGCTCCGAGCGGCAGCGGAGCTGATCGCGAGCGACGAATTCGCCGGGGATGCCAGGCAACAGATGGGCGCGCAGAAAATTGGCGTGGCGTCCTAAACAACGCGACCGACGAGCATGCTCAACTGCTGCGCGACGCTCTCTGCGACCCCGACTTTTGTATGCGCTTTGCCATTCGCCGCCGCATTGGCTCAGGGGGCACAGTCCGCTTGCAGTGGCTCTTACGCACGAATAGCGTTGTTGGCCGCACATCAACCTACCAGCGGCGTCCTACGAGGCGGCGTACTGGGTGGAGCGCAACTTGAGCAGCTATGATGAAGTGGTGCGGGACGTGATCTACTTGCGGAGCGGGGCTTCCTTCGAGCGCGAGGCGGAGGCTCCAGCCGCGCTGCACCTTGTGGTGCCGCCCGAGTTGGACAAGCGCTGCTATTGGGAGGGTACTGGATTCACAGGCGTGTATTGGCTGCAGCCCGGCCAGCCAGTGTACGGCCACCCCAGCTACCGACACAGCTGGGAAGCAGAACGTGATGGCAGCTCGCGAACGCGCCCATCTTTGGGTTCAAAAACTCGTGTCTTGGCAGGGCCGTGCTGGCCTGGACCATATGAAACTGACAGGGCGCCGTGGATCACGGTCAGGTTGACAGGGGCGCAAGCAGGTTGGGCTGGGCCGGGCCACCCGTGTACCACCATGGACCGCCGGCTACCGGTTCGTGTACGGCTTTGAGGCTGTATATGCTGCCAAAACGATTGCCGTCACTGGTCCCTGGCACCATGGCTTGCGATGCGAGGCATTAACCGAGGAGGAGGCGCACACGCTGCTAGCTGAGCGCCAGCGTGCCACTCAGGATGCTGGCTCTGAGTCTTTATTGCGAGGACGGCATCGGCTCGACATCCTCAGGACGAGGCGCTCGCGAAGGCCAAAGCAGCCGATGCCGTCAGCTACGCGCGCCTTCCGCCCCCACCGCCTCCTCCTCCTCCGCCGCCGCCTCCGCTACCGCCGCCGATGCCATGGACCAACGAAAAGCGTGAGCAAGTGCTCTCATTTTCGGGGCCACACATGCCGCACCGGCACAGCTGAGGCTAGCCGATCGCGTGTACGAGGTGTTCGAGCAGCACGGCAAGCCTGTCGATCACACCACCATTGCAGCAGTGCTAGGGGAGTCGCATCAATCTGCAGTCCGGTCTGCATTGACTATCGCTCGTGAGCGCTGGCGTGAACAACATCCTGACGCCATGCCGTCCTCGAAAGAGGCACTCGCTGCCGTGAAGGGGCTGATGCAGCAAAGGGGATCCATGTACTTCAGCAACAAGAACTACATTCACGAGGCGTTGCTGCCTCAGCTGCCGGGTCTCACTTTCAAGCAAGTGCGGCGAGCTGCGGCACGCGTGCGCGATCCACAACGGGCTGTCACAACTTACGGGCAAGAGATCCCGGTGTGGGAAGCGTCGCAGCGTGCCTATGTCTTTCCTTCAACCGGCGAACATGTTGCAGGTGACCAGTGGTCAACTCCCACTAAAGGCCAAGCAGGCCGAACCATGCGGCATCACGTAGCATGTGGGCGGCTAAACGAACAAGCTAACCAAGCTTTCCTAAATAAAGCGTTCACTGGCACTAGATGCGTCCTGGCATCGGGAGGGTCCGCCTAAGAGGAAGTACGTTCATAAGAACTGATATATGTACTTTGTGCGTGGAGCGTCTTCCCCTTTTGCGCAGCAACACCTCAAATTTCATGGCCCTCCAAATTCGGGTCGGAGCGTAGCGGAGTGGGCCCCGAGTTTGAAAAAGGCGACGGACGCTTGCGTCCTAGCCTCCAACAAAGAAAGAAAGAAAGAAAACGGACAACCCAAGGGAGGGATGGGAGGACGGCACGCCGCCACCACACAGGGATTTTAAGGAGAGGGGTGTGGTGCACTAGCCGTCGCCCACCCTTGGGCGTCCGCCTCTTCCTATCTCTCTTCGCAGTCTCTCTCCGATTCTCGCTGCGACGAGAGAGAGAATTCTTGATACGAAACCACGACGACACACACCAGTCGACTCGCATCGGTTGCCTCCATGAGCGGCGGAGCTATTCTCGCGCCCACACCACACCTGGCTCCAACGTGGACACGCCCATAGCTGGGGACACTACTAGGTCACGCATGGCATCACAGAAGTTTTATCTCTGGGCCCCGAAAGGCATCTCTAGCAGTGTCGTTACACATGCCCCCTCCCCTCCTGGGCGCATGCGCCTCACGTCTCGCCAGAGCATAAGCCCTTGGCGTGTGGCGAGACGAGTTTTTCGCCATCGCAGCCAGCAGCAAGCCGCCCGCCGCAAACAGCCGGAGGCCTCGCCGCGGCACTGGCTGCGCCGCGGTCCCGCACCCGTCGACGCAGCTCCCCCCGCGGAAGACCGCGCGTAGCAACGTCTTGACGATCGAGATGAGCGTGCCTGAAGCTCGCCCACCTACTGCCCCTGAGAGTTGGTTATTGAGTGGGATCAGCTCCCCCCCTTGGGATCGAAGCCGCCACAACCTCACACCCAACATCCCAGGCGGGATCAGAAGGGGACTCCACACCGGACACCGCCCGGGCACAGCCCCCCTACCCGTCGGATCGCACAGAGGGCCCCCTCGGAGCAGCCCACACACAATCACGCATCGGCAGATTGAGTGCCTGAGTCAGGCAGACAGCACAGACAAGAGGAGAGAGAGGAGAGAGAGAGAGAGAGAGAGGAGAGAGGAGAGGGTGAGGGTGTGAACACACGTGAGGAGTGGGGGAGGGTGTCTGTGGTGGGCTGTAGTCCTACTACGTGGTTACAACCA